AAAGGAAAAAGGAAAAAGGAAAAAGGAAAAAGGAAAAAGGAAAAAGAGAAAAGGAGAATTCCAGAACTTGGAGGCTGGGCTTCTCAGCTTGTAGAACAGGCTGTTCTTCTGTTGTTCTTAAGTTACCCAGGCTAAGACATTTTGTTTTAGTGGCGAAAAGACACTATAGCCCTGAGAGCAGCCTGCTTTCCTCAGAGGGCAGGGGAAAGCTGTCCTTAGCAGTTGTCGGCTGGTGCCCCTTCGCATCCAGCCCTTCTTTCATAGAACAACAATGCAGTTTAAACAACAGTCCCAGAACTAGGCCATTCTGGAGTCACCAATACATTTCAGAAATCACAGACCATGGACAGGGAAAACTCTCATAACGAGATGGGCAGAGATGTGAGTTACACCATTACATTCATCCCCAAGTATCCATGGGAAACTGGCTCTGGAACTCTTCTCAGACACCAAATCCCAAAGATGTTCAACACAATTTGGTATCGGTAATCCTCTTGTTCACTTCAAATCACCCTCTAGGTTACTTATCATACATAATATAACATAAATGCTATGTAACCCAAGGGAAAGAAACCTGTGCAGCTTCAGTACAGACACAGGAAGTGGACTGTCTATACCTAATATGATCTTACAGATCTATAAAATCACCAGGAAGTAATTTGGAAGTAGATACAGTCAATTATTAAGAACAAATATCTCGGGCTTGGGAGATGTTCAAGGGTAAATAAACCACTTGCTCCACAAGCATGAGGATGTGACTTCGAGCCCCAGAAGCCATATAAAGCAGGGTGGCAGAAGCCTGTGTCTATAGAAGCCATATAAAGCAGGGTGGCAGAATCCTGTGTCTATAGAAGGCATATAAAGCAGGGTGGCAGAAGCCTGTGTCTATAATCTCATGGCTTCTATGGCAAGAAAGGAGACAAAACATGGAAATCTCAGGAAGCTCATTAGGCCTGCCTCAAATGAGGTAAAAGGCAGACATTGATACTTATAGTTGTTCTCAGACACCCTGTGCCTCTCTCCCTGTAGCCCCACATATGAACATGAGCATGCATGCACGTGTAAATACACATGAATGTGTCTTGTTGTTGTTTTGCTTCTTTAAGAGTAAGTACCTCTGTAGGTTTTCCCCTTCTTCTATACTTCCCAATTTTTATTCAGAAAAAAGTTAAAAAAAAAAGCCAAGAGAAGTCTAGGCCCAGGGACTGATAAGAGAGAGTTCTAAGGTAGGCTTCTGACTTGAGAGACAAAAGGAATATTAATAGGATATGAAGTTGCTCCCAGAATATGCTGTAGGGCAGGGATGGGCAGAACCAGGCTCTGAGGCAAGTGGCTGAGGCAGCTACAGTGGGCAGCCTCCAAAAGTCACCAGGATCTCCTGTCTCTTATCTCTCTATTTCTGTGATACTCTCTTCATGGGTGTGGACTGGACCTAGTGACCACTTCTAAACATAACAGAGCAAAATGATAGGGTGTCTGTCCTTCCTGAACCTACTTTCCTTCTTATCTTTCCACATTCATCCATCCGTCAAACCTCCACATCTCTCCGATCTCTCCTATCTCTCTCTCTCTCCCTCTCTCTCTCTCTCTCTCTCTCTCTCTCACACACACACACACACACACACACACACAAGTGAACTGTTCAATGGAAAGAACTACATAGAACTACAAAGAACTAGAGGTCTCCAGTCAAACATCCTGCAAGAACATGCCAATCACTGCCATTAACTGACCCTAGAAACAAGGCTTTCTCCTCCCAGTCCTCCTTGAGGTAACTGTTTCCACCTGACACCTTCACTGCAGCTTTTTAGGAGGCTCTGAACAGAAAACACAGCAGGGATCATGGGATAATGCCTGCTACTTCAGGTTGCTAAATTTGGGTTCAATTTGCTGTGGAGTCATAGATGCATAACATACAAATAGAATCGGAGGGTCAGACCTAATTCAGTGAAAATGCCTTTTGCAAAAATAAGGTGCAAAGATCATTGTAATTTCATCATCCATATAGTGGTCTCAGCAACTGCTGGCAGAAAGGCTACCATCGGCTTCTTCTATCATCCTTCAGCAGATGGGCTCAGTTTGGACCTCTGGTTTCTTCTTCACACCCAGAGGATGGTTCACCTGACTGGTAATTTGTAGGTGCACCATCTACTTCTAAGAAAAGTTGAAAAGTCAAATATCTAGCATTTTAAATTCAAAACAGAGAAAGAAATTTTTTAAGTATGGAATGAACTTGGTAATTGATTCTGTACTGTAGTGCTTTGCTGGATTGTAAGAGGCCTCTCTTAATACTGTCCTGCATCCTCCTATACAACCAAAGCCCTTGACTATGGGCTTTAGCACTCTGATAATTTCAAAATGATTAGATAATCTATGTAATGAAAGTAAAATCTGCATTCATTTAAAGCATTTAGGATTTAGAGACTTGAATATGTTCCTCGACTTAAAGAATGGCATTTCTAAGACTGAAGTGGTCAGATCATATTTGTGCATTGATGTTTTAGACAGGGTCTTCTATACTCCAGGCTGGCCTTGAACTCACTTTGTAGGGGAGGATGACCTTCAATTTCTGATCCTGCCCCTCCACTCCTCAGTGTAGGAGTTACTTGTATACATCACCAAGCCCAGTTAAGGTGGTGATGGGAATCAAACCAGAGTTTCACACACGATAGGCAAGCATTCCACAAGAACGGCACTCTCAGCTTCAATTTGTGTACTGTTAATGGCAGGCTTGCCCAGAATTAAAATGCTCAAATGCATATAAATATGATTTCAGGTATTGTCTATGGAGAAAGCTCCCAGAAAATGAGTTCATTTTCTTTACTTTAGAGAATATCTGTAGAGCTACTATGAAGCTATGGTGAGCAGTCACTTAAGTGGTAGCCAGATACACTCAGCAACCACAGTGACAATGATACCAGCATCTCTCATGGATTCATCACCAACCAAGTTACTCAGAGTCAACATTTTGTTGGGCACAATAACAGATACCAAAGTAGACCTGTGCACAGACATATAAATACCCTGAAACCAGTTTTCTCTTGTAAAATAGCCTCAAAATCAATCCATTAAAATAATGTTCAGTAGAATGAAACTAATAAACAAAAAAGCATCCCTGAGTTAAGAATAAGTCTTCTCAAATGATGTACATGGTTTCAGCTCCATGGGATGGAAGAGTGCCAAGGCAGCCAGGCATGAGGAGTAAAGACCCACGGGCTTCAATTTCCCTTTGTTTCACGGTGGCATGGAATGAATGGATAAAAACAAACGGTAGACGTCATATAATATCCCCGAGCAGAGCTCATCATTCTTTTTCAAATGTAGTTAAGAGGCTGCACACTGACTCCTGTATTTTTGGCCAGCTTTGCCATACTTCTAGCTCGATTCTTTTTTTTAAGCAGGAAGAAAAGCATTGCAGAACAACATCGCTGCTCTGCCTTTCTTTTTGAGACACAACCTTGCTCTCTGTAGCTCAGGCAGGTTTTGAACATGCAACCTTCCTGCCTCAGCTTCCCAAGTACAAGCATGCACCACCATGCCCTGCTAGGACTGTTTCTGGATTGGGCCTGCAAAGGCTCTGTATGTGCTGCCAGTCTCTGAAGTCATGTGTGCATCAGCCCTGTTGTCTGGAAGACCCTGTCTCCTTGGAGTTATCCATCAACTCTGGTTCTTACAGTCTGTCCATCTCCTCTTCCCATAGATCCCTGAGCCTCGCGGGGTGAGGTGTGATGAACACATTCCATCTAAAACTGAATGCTCCAAAATCTCAGGGCATTCTATGCAAATATGGGTTTCTATGTTAGAGATCTGCCTGCCTCTGCTTCCCAAGTACAGAGATTAAAAGTGTGCCACTAGCACCTTGCCTTTTTATTTTAAGAGAGGGAAGAATGGGTGTGCACCTATATGGGTTACAGATGGGGAAGATCTAGGAGGAGTTGGGGGGGCAGGTGCTAGGTGTCAGAGAGACTGAACCGACAACCAGCAAGCCTGTGTGGGACTGACCTACAGCCTCTGCATATTTATTACAGTTGTGTAGCTTGGTCTTCATGTGGGACTTCTAACAGTGAGATCAGGGGCTCTCTATCTGACTCTTTGCCATCTTTTGGGACCCCTTTCCTCCTACTGAGCTGTCTTCTCCAGCCTTAATATGCAGAGAGGTGCTTAGTCTTATTGCAACTTGCTATGCCATGTTTGGTTGATGTCCATGGGAGGCCTGCTCTTTTCTGAAGTGAAATGTAAGAGGATCAGACAAGATGACAGGAGGCATGGTGGGGGGGGGAGGCGCACTAGGGGGAGAGAAAGAGGGCAAACTGTGGTCAAGACACAAAAATAATAATGATGGTAATAGTAGAATATACTACTATGAAAAAGTACAGTTATAAATATAAAAGCAAATGAAAACATGAAAAAGAATAAAATAGGGTAAAATCTTGTGTGATGTAAACAAATTTAGTCTGAGAAGATATAAATGAAGGAGGACCCAGGTGCCTCCTGGGAGTCCTTTTCTGGTCTGCAAACAATTTCAGTTATGCTCTAACATTGGGTTAATTGGTCATGGAATATGGAAACATTACCTCTCAGCTTCAAACTATCTGTGACCCAGGGCAATGAAAACACTCCTGTGATCCCACCTGCAAAGTGAGGAACCTCAGGAGACTGGAGAGCTGGCTCAGCAGTCAAGAACACTGGCTGCTCTTCCAGAGGGCCTGGGTTCAATTTCCCACACCCATATGCCAACTGACAACTGTCTATAGTTCCAGCTCCAGGGGATCCAGGGCTCCCACACAGACATACATGTAGGTAAAACACATGTAGTGTGCATGGAATAAAAATAAATAAATCATTAAAAAGGAATAGGAACCTCAGGGCACAGAACAGCTGCTACATTTAGCAAACGCAATTGGGGGAAAGCTGCTAACTATGTTATATTTGCTCAAAAGCAACTTTGTGCTTATTTTTCAGGAACACACACACATGCACACACATACACAAACAGACACACATCCCTTGTAGATATAACTCTTTCTGTACTTCTGGTGGGTCAATGTGTTGGCCTCCTGAGTGGTAAGTAAGCTTTCCATGTTGCCTTTGGAATGAAGACTATTTTTTCTGCCAGAGCAGTGTTGCTTTTGTTTTAAATAGGAAAGTGATGGAACACATCAGGCAATCTTAGTTTTAATTTTTATCTATCTATCTATCTATCTATCTATCTATCTATCTATCTATCTATTTTTTTCCAGACAGAAGATAGCATGGGCTACCTTCGAAGTCATAGTCTTACTGACTGTGCTTCCTTAGTGCTGGGATTACAGAAATGTTCTCCATGCCCAGCTTTTTTTCTTAACTTTTAAGAAACCTTTCCAATAGTGAATGAATCTCTGATGCATCTGGAATACTCATAGCTCACACTGCTGCCAATCCTTCCAAAGATTGCCTCAGACCTTTCATCTGTAGCATTTATCTTGGTGCCCATAAGCCCTGGGACATTCTGTACTATATGACCATGGTCTAGTGTTATAGAAAGTGTTCAGTAACTGCACACTGAATATCCACCATAATCTCCACTATTCAAAACAAGAAGAAAATTGAGACATGGACTCAAACACACTGTGCAGACCAGATCGACCTCAAACTCACAGAAATCTGCCTACCACAGGTAAGATTCTGCACAGAGCCTTACAAACCTAAGTCAGAAGTGCATTGCTTTTGATAATGCATATTCCATGACCAGTAAGGAAGGCATACTTTTTTTTTCTTTTTTTTTCTCTAACTCTTTTTTTAATAATTTATTTTTTTCAAATCATAATTTTTACTCATTCACACAGGGGTTATAAACACAAAAAGGCAGGACGTGGGGAAGGAGATGACACTGGAGCATGGGTGTTCAGGGGGAATACAGATATCTTTCAGAATAGAGTATCGGCTGGGTGAAGGTTGAGGGGACAGGTGGCTATGACACTGCCTATGATTCACTTGTCCTTATCTAAGTTGGTATTATCTGCCAAGGCTACCTATTTACAAGGTCTATGACTACTCAGGCTGGTAAATTTCCACAAAAGCTGCCTGTTTACAATAGCTTATAGCCATCTGTTTCAATGAAGGAAGGCATTCTTGTCAGAACAACCTAAGATAGGCTCAGTCTTGTTAATGAAATAAAAAAGGGGGAGAGGCAGAGAGCCTTTGGGACTGCTTGGCAAGAATCTGGCATGTGCCAAGAACAAGGAAATGGGCTGCTTGGTGGGAATATGACACTGGCCAAAGACAAGGAAGTAGACTTCAGGCAGGAATCTGACATTAGGCTAGAACAAAGAAGTAATCTTAGGTAGGAATCTAAATCTTAGGCTACAACAAAAAAGTAATTTCAGGCAGGCAGGAATCTAAATAGTAGGCTAGAACAAAGAAGTAATTTCAGACAGGATTCTAAATTTTAGGCTAGAACAAGGAAGTAGGCTTCAGACATGGAAATGACCTTGTGCTAGGACAGGAAAGTAGGCTCAGTTATTTTGGTCATCTTGATAAGCCCTTAGAAACAGTTATCATGGGAGTGTTCATGTAATTAGGTTTAATGCCTTGCTTTTTCTTTGACTATTTGTGTTTATTGTCTTGCTTGTTCCTTGACTATTTGCATCTATTGTATTACTAGATCCTCAACCTAGAACTGACCTTAATACATGCATGTAATTAAAATGGTATAAAAGCAAAAAGGAGGAGGGAGGATGGGATAGGGGATGATATCTGTATTGTAAATAAATAAAATATCCAATAAAAAATTAAAAAAAAGAAATGAACATCAAGCTATGAGCACAAATAAACTCTTTCTCCCACAAAAAAAAAAAGGAGAAAGAAATCTGCCTACCTCTGCTTCTCAAGTGTGTGCTACTGTGTCCAGCAAAAATGAAAGATTATAATCAAACTGTCTGAGTCTACATTTAATTTTCTGACTCTTGGATAAGGAATATGGAGTATTTACAATATTACAAAGATATCACTTTAATTTTGTATGCAGAAACCAATTTTTAGCACAGCAGTTACCTCTGGCCAGACTTGGGCAAGTTGACTTTAATATTACCTGTCATATTATTGAGATCTTTTATTCACCATGGATTTACACAAGAGCCTGCCAGCACCTGTCTGGTGGACTCTGGATCTCTACTTCTAATTTAATTGATAGAAAAAGCAGATTTGGACCAACTCTGAGGATTTCATTATCTTTCCAAATGTTTTATACTATGGTGGGCTCTTTCCTTGACTTTAGCTCTCCTCCATCACACATACCCTTTTTAAGAAGCCTTGTCTACTGCTCTGTTCCTTATCTAACCAAGAATTAAGTCCAAAGAAAATGCTCACTGGAGATAAGTAAAATCGCAAAGCCAAAGATCTCAAGGAGCTGTCTTTCTGACCACCGTTTGCATTAATGATATTCACTGCAGGAAGTTTTCTCCCTTAGAACATCTGTAATGAAATGCCATTCAGCTCATCCTGTCTCCTCTTGAGTACACGAGTCCTGAGGGGCATTATGTCTGTGCCCATGTTTCTGTCTGAGAAGAGTACTTCTCACACACATAACCGAGACCGATCAACCATGAAGATTTTTTCCCCTTTTGACAGACAGTTATTGGAGCTTGAAATAGAAGAAAAGAATCTGAAGAGAATGCCTCATACATGGAGGCTGGAAGCTTTCATCCCTCTTGCACTCACTCTCCCATGCACAACTCTCTGTGAACTCTCCCAGACTTAAAATAACTTGCACAGCATGGACAGCCAGAAAACCAAACCCATAACATGCAGTCAGGAGTAACTTGCCTCTGAAGATGTGCCTCTACATTAACATAAGATGCATGGGCAGATACCCTTCATATGTATGGATTTGAATTATTTCCCTTTTAAACTTGCTTTCTTTTTTTGTTCACAAGGAGGAAGATGTAGTCGATCTTTACCATTTTAATGTTTGGGCTGTAACCCGCAAAAGTAGTTACCTTCACTAGGATTTTGCCTTTTAGACTCTGAGGGCTTGGAAGCTGCCTGCACTCTCCTGTGTCTACAGATGACAGGTCCAGTTTGTCCTGGAATATTTCTTTGAGGTACTGAGCAATCTTCCTCTGCTGCTGAATACTGCAGTGGTTCTCAATGGACAGTATAACTGGGAACCTGAGGAAACAGCAACAAGGGCAAGGGAGTTCAGTGGCATCAGCTCACGGGGATCTTGGAAACCAGGAAATAGAAACTGTACACATTGCATTCTTAAATTCCTGGCAGCTGAATGGACAATACTAATAATGATTAAAATGATGCTAAACGGAGAAAGAATAAGCATGCACTCAAGAGAAAGTACTTCAAAACAAATATACTTTGCCAGGTACAGTGTTGCAGAATGGCTTAGTTTAGTATCAGGAAAGAAGTGAGGAATGTAATACATGCACACACACACACACGTGTGTGTGTGTGTGTATGAAATGTGAGTCCTAAGAAAATCTGTGATGTCATTTTTTTCATATTTATTCACAAGTATAAATGCATCAAAGAGACTGCTGCCTATCATTAAAGGCAGTTGCCTACTCTAAAAATATACCATCTCCAGCTTGAGAACTAAGGGAAAAATACTGTGATGCAGCTTTGTTTTAGTGTCTTCAAGTGTCAGATGTGTCAGGCCTCCCCAAATTATTTTTATAAAACAGAACAGCAGCTTTCAGTTAATAAAAAAAAAAAAAAAAGCTGGCCCAGTGAGATGGGTCAGCCTCATCCAGTAAAGGCAGCTGCTGTCAGGCCTGATGACCTGGACCTGATCCCTGGCTCCCACATGTGGAAGCAGAGAAGGGATTCCTGCTGGTTGTCCTCTAACACACACATGTGCAGTGTAGCATGTGAATAGACACCCACCTTCCTGCACACATAAACATCTAAAAACTAACTATCCATTCTACAGCAACACACAAGTTTCAGTGCAGGAAATGGGAGGTGATTCCCAAAGCCAACCAAATGCCAAGATGTTAGCAGCCAAAGAGTGAGACAAACAAACACCAAACCAAAACAAAACCAAAAATTTAGTGTTCTTTCACATATCATTAGAATATATATGTGATATCTTCTTTCAAAGTACACAAAACAATATTTGAATTATCTATACATTAGTGCAAAGGGGGGGGGAATTTTTTTGAGCAAGCACAAGCTCCACAAGATGGCCCATGACTGCTTCAAATTGAATTCTGTTTGAATTGCAACACTCGATGCTGAGGTCACAGACAGGTCCCTTCGGCAGATGGTAGCTTGCCTTTCTGACTGGCTGGTGGGTTCTCATATAGGTTTATCCAAGTGTGTTGTGAAGAGAAATCCACAAGCGAGCATCCCTGAGACTCTCTGCAATCATGTAGGTTTCAACAAAAATAATTTCAAATTCTCAATTCCCGTATAAAGAGATCATGAGTGTTTAGTGCTGGCAAGCAGAAGGATGTTCTCAACAGGAAGGGATTTTGAGCCTCATCCCATCACGGAGCATTGGTCAATGTGTGAAGGCCTCTTTTCGTGGGTACAGTTTAGGGATGCTGCTGACATCTGGCGAATGGAAGCTGGACAAGCTACTAAATGCCCTACAAACACAAGATGGCTCCCCATCACATATGATCTTGCCCCCAAATGTTCACAGTGCCAGAGTTAAAAAGCCTTGCTAAAAAGTACATATTAAAAATAGAAAGAAAATAAAAGGGCCAGAATTAATATGTCCTAAACAAGTTTATAATGTTCTCATTTAAAGTGTTTCCTATTTTAAAGATGTATTTACCACTATTTTATGTGTATGAGTGTTTCGCCTGAATGCAGGTGCACTCCTGTTGCCCACTGAGTCAAGAAGAGAGTGCCAGATGCCATTGAACCTGGAATTAAAAGTGGTTGTGAGCCAAATGATGTAGGTTCTGGGAACCAAATCCAGGTCTTCTGCAGGAGCACCAAGTGCTCTTAACTGCAGAGCAATCTCTCCAGCTCCTATAGAGCATTTTTTCTAAGGATACTTAAGCATAAAGTCAATATTGCTGGCACCAGGTGATCCTCTGAGGTATGGGGCAGCACTATTTTATATAACGGGAAATACTGACATGTAAGAGTCATAAAAATCAGGGTTTGGAAGGCTAAATTTAGCACTAAATACTTCATCATAAAAGATGCCAGAAACTAAATTTGTTACACAGCAAGAATAGCTTATTTGAAGGGCATCCAACCTCATGCTTAATTAATAAGACCAAATACTGGAAATTTTAAAGGCCACTAGCTTCTAAAATATTTTATGTAATCACAATTTTAATTTGCCTCTTTAATTTAAAAATCCTTTCTTGTATGTTTAGTATATTTATGGAACTTGCTAAGTAGACAGAAATCAATGATTAATGAAATATGGTTCCACACTTTCAATAAGTTTACCATCTCATATCTATATAAGAAGGCAAGAGACCAACCTTTTTGCCATGGTGTTATATGCTATGACAGATATATGTTCAAATAGCTAAGTATCAAGAAAGGGGGGATTTATTATCTGTGGGTCAAAATATGCTTCCCAGCTGGGCAGTGTTTAAATAATTTTGTTGTATGAAAATAGAGTAGGTGATTGGGATGGTGGGAGGGGTATTTAGGGTAGATACTAGCACACACTAGGTTGGGAGTTATAAAAACTCCAGGCTTGTTGGAGTACAGAGTATGAGCCAAAGTAGAAATGAGAACTAAGAGAAGGCAGTGAAGTCCAAAAAAAAAAAGATAAATCCATGTGTTGGATCTCTATAAGACATATATCCTGAAGTGTCTAATGTTCAGCACTTTATTATATTATGATGCAGTGTCATAAAACTGTTATGAAGCAGAAGAGGTGGTTCAGCAGATAAGAGTCCTGGGTGCTTTCCAAAAGGACTAGGGTTCAATTCCCAGAAGCTACACAGAAGCTAAGAATTGTCTATGATTCCAGGCCCAGGGGATCTAGAGCCCTTTTTTAACTTCCACAGGTACAGCATGAACATAACACACAGATATACATTCAGGTAAAACAATCATACACATAAAAATAAAGTCTCAAAAGATTACAAACTATTATCTATAATAGCTTATTTCCAAGCTTTATGGGTTTAGAAATTTAAAAATGCAATGATATTTTCAAGGAGACAGAATGAGAGAAAATGGGATTAAGAAATGAATGGATCACAAGAATCCATAAACTCGGAAGCCATAGTACATGTTCTCAATTGTTGCTTAGAGCTGGAAGAGAAGCAGGGCAGGAGGAGTGAAGCTGGAGGGTGTAAGGAAGGGGTGGAGCTTGGCTCCCAGGTGTTTCTGTACTTACTCATTCTTCACGAATGCGTGCTTGTTGATGGTCTCCACAACATCTCTGAAGAGAATTTTTGAAGTGAGAGTATAACCATGGTGGACCACTGGCTCTCCATCTGGGCCATCCCAACAGTCAACTGGCAAAAACAGAAGTTCACATCAGCAACGTAAGATGCTTGGAGTTCCTTAATATCTCTGAACGTACTAGAAACGTCTATGATTATTACTATAACTTATACATACTATAATTTTGACAAAGATGTGAAGACAAAGAATTGAACTTTCTGGCTTACTTCATGAAAATAAAGAGAGAGGATAAAGAATTTGGGGGTTTTTTGAGTGCTATTAATTTACAAAAGTATGCTTACAAGTAGATCAACATGTATCAAAATTTCTCTTGGGAGTTTATCAAAATTAAATCAAATATACCTAAGACTATGATCTTTAATTTTTTTCTTTATTAACTAAAATGGATTGAACTTCTCCATATAAATCTTTTCATCTGCAGGTTGCTTTTGGTTCCAGCAACAGATAGAAGTTCTGCTTGAGCCTACCTTGAGGCCATACAACTGCAATATCGCCTTTAGCCAAGGTCTCTGGATAATGGTTAGTCAGTCTACAGATGTCAGACTTGCTCACCCCACACGTGTGTGAGCTGGCATCAAACTCACAGAGATCTGCCTGCCTCTGCTGTGAGCATTAAAGGAATGCACCATCATTCCCAGCCTGAAATGGACATTTCTAAAACCTTGTGGCATGGCAACTGTAATGATCTCTTAACATAAGACTTTCCTCATGTGTTAGCAATATTGCCAGTGTTAACAAATATTCTGCACTTTCAGTTGTATCGAAGTATAGCATGTATAATTCTGTTTAGTTGGTAGTGATAATGAATAATGATGTTATTGGTCCATATTCTACTGCACTATGCTTTTTTAAATCATTATTTCAGACTGTATTTTTTTAATTTATAAAAACATTTATTAGAAAACAATATGCTCTTTTCCATAGGCAACAGATTCATAGAGATCATGTTTGCTGTGTCTCTTAATCATATTAAGAAGCAGACTAATCCACACCACTTAGGTTTGTGCAAGCAAAGCACACTCTGATTTTGCAAAATTGCCTGACACATTTGCTAGAATGTATCACTCCCATCAGGCTGTAGGCAATTTCAACACCTCTTTCCCAGACCTACAGTCCTATTTTTAAAGCAGAAATGATATAGCAGATAATATATCAATATCTTTCAAAGAAATAGTGCAAAATTAAAAAGGCACATCAATACATGATTTGTTCTTCACACCAACATATTTCATGTCATAAGTCATGAAATAGTATTCTTTTGCTAGTATTTAAAACACAGGAAGACTATCCACAGCTGATATAGTTTCTAACATTTTGTGTCTGAACTCATTGGGTTTCTGTTAATTGAGGATATCAACACACTAGAATTGCACTGAGATCTGGATAGCCAAATTCAAGGCAAGTATCATATAAAGGCTAACAGTGAGTTGGTGGTATTGGCAAAATACAAATATTCTAACAAATCCCTGTAAAACACAGACCAGCCAGGTACCACAGGCACTGTTTTTCAACCAGATCACACAATAGAGCCCCCAAAACACCTTGACAAAGGGTGAATTATTCTGAAGGCCATGTGGCTAGTACAAGAACTTTTGTAATAAGGGAATTTACAGATTTCCATCATGGTGGCTTTCAAGGAAAACAGAGAAAGCTGTAAGCAACTTAAACACCATTGTAGTCAGTCCATAATAACAAAGTTTGCCATATCATTAAGCAACTTAGGCTGGAAAGCAAGTGAATAAATGGAAGTATAGAAAAGGAACACAATTTGATTTTCCAGCAAACCCACCTAACCACAGTGACTTGTCTGTCTCCCCCAAGTCATCAATCATACCCTGAAGGAGAACATAACACGGCTCAAGTAATGGAGACAGAAAAACACATCATCAAAGTAGGAGCTTGGAAGAAGATAGATCCCAAAGCCATAATACCTCATAAAACATTCCGTATATACATCATTCTCCATTTTAAACTTTCATCCCCAGCAAAAGCTGTTTATGAAAACATCTGTAGATCTAAACATCTCTATGACCTGTTACGTTCTATAGGGCTGGTGTTCTACAGGCCAGGTGCAGGTGTTTAAGAGTAAAGCCATCTTCATCTAGATCTAGATGAGTGCCTCTGGCGCATAAAGACTTCTATGTGCCCATGCCCAGGTTGCAGACATGAACTAAGAACTTCATGCTTCATGACACAAAGAAATCTTTGTAGAAAATTCTGTAAGGGATCATGTGACCAAATTTTAAGCATTTAGAAACAAATAAATATTGGAGCACTAGGCTTAAGCATGAACAAAGCATGTACTTCCTTTTAAAGCTCACCTCCCTCTTTTCAGTGTGAGGCTTCCACTGTGTCTAGTCATTCTCCTGTGATCTATTCATCCCTATTTAGTCCCTTATAGGCTATTCAGGAAGGGTAGCAGCTGCCTGGAGAATACTAGCTCAACAGGACTTGAATCTCCAGCTTGCAAGCTATAGGAACTTCAGTCATTTACCTAAATCTGTGTTGAAGTTTCCTCGTAGTAACTTATCCCACACCTCCTGGTGCTCGAAGGCTTAAATGAGAACAGGACCTGTCTACAACATCGAAATAGAACCCATTTTTCTTTCCACAGTACATTGAAGTTCAAGGTGATGATCAAAGCTTCCAATATGAAAATGATAAAGTACAAAGCAGGCCAAACTCACCAGGTAAGTATAAATATTCTTCTTAGAAAAAACTTTCCAGAAAGAGTAGTTGGACATTTACTGTCCAGTTACATTTTATTTTAAAAGGAAGAATTTCAAGTCAAATGCCAGGAGAGGCATTTGCTGACATAAGCTAGTGGATAAAGACTTGGAAATGCAAACTTGCAACACGAAGGCCAATGTAGTGCATTGTCAAGGCGAGGCAGAAAGATTGCAATGAGTCTAAGGCCAGTCTGAGCTACACATTGAGTTCTTGGACAGTTTGGGCTACAGTGGAAGGCCCAGAAACACACACAAACAAAAAGGTAAAGAATAAAACAACATCCTGTGCCAGGGCTCTACATATCCTCAGACTGAATGAATATTTGGACCACAGGTGACCTTTGGTCTTGAAAGGTCTTTTTGGTAATTGCCAAACAGAAAGAAGGTAAAGAGAGAACGCTTTTCGCCAAGATGGCGCCGAAAGCGAAGAAGGAAGCTCCTGCCCCTCCCAAAGCCGAAGCCAACGCGAAGGCCTTGAAAGCTAAGAAGGCAGTGCTGAAAGCCGTCCACAGCCACAAAAAGAAGAAGATCCGAACGTCACCCACCTTCCTGCGGCCCAAGACACTGCGGCTCCGGAGGCAGCCATAATATCCTCGGAAAAGTGCACCCAGGAGAAACAAGCTTGACCACTATGCTATCATCAAATTCCCACTGACCACTGAGTCAGCCATGAAGAAAATAGAGGATAAAAACACACTTGTGTTCATTGTGGATGTCAAGGCCAACAAGCACCAGATCAAACAGGCTGTGAAGAAACTCTATGACATTGATGTGGCCAAAGTCAATACTTTGATAAGGCCTGATGGAGAGAAGAAGGCATATGTCCGCTTGGCTCCTGATTATGATGTTCTGGGTGTTGCCAACAACATTGGGATCATCTAAACTGAGTCCAGATGACTCATTCTAAATAGACACTTTTTTTTTCACCATAAAAAAAATAAGAAGGTAAAGAGAAAATTCACATCCCTGCCATCTGTGGCACAGTGTCTAAAAGCTCCCATTCATTTGAGAGTGGTAACACAACAAAAAACATGCATCCCTTATCATAAATTGTCTAGTTAGTGATATAATTTTCCTTTTTCATATCCAGCCAGAGGTAGACAGTTAGGAGTTTTGGCTCAGTGTATGAAATCAAGCATGGGAACACAGTCAGGTTCAAATAATGTCTTTTAAACGAAAATTTAAATGCCCAACCCCCTCCATAGGCTCATGCGTATTGATAGATCCTTTGGTGAGACTGTTTGGGAAGGATTAGGAGGTGTAGCCTTGTTTAAGAAAGTGAGTCACCGGGGATGGGGGATGAGCTTTGAGATTTCAAAATTTCATTCTACTTCTAGTTGGCACAACTCTGTCTGATGATTGTGTCTCAAGATGGAAGCTTGCAGCTACTACACTCAAACACTATACCTTGCTGTCTACCTTCTGCCATGTTCGCTGACATGATGGTCATGGACCCTAACTAACCCTCTGAAACTATGAGTCTCAATAAATTCTTAATTCTATAAGTTGGCTCAATCTTGGTGTCACAAGCAGGACAATGATTTTGTACAGATAAGCAAAAGAAGAGAAGTCATGGATCCAAGAGGTAGGAAAAGTAAGAGAAACAATACAAAGAAAGTCACTGGCATGCAGTAATGGCATCTAGAGTAGACAGCCACTCTATGAATCCACAGAATACCATTCTTGGCCTCCAAAGAAATGTTGGCATTTAAATGAGGGTCCACCCTCAGTGTGACTTCAGTGAGGCTGGGTTCCCAGGGAACCACATCTTAACATATCAAACCTGGAAAATTTTTTGAGTGTTAAGTAGTCAAGGGACTGAATAATAGTCTAGAGGAGAATGTCACCTCAGGACCTGTTACTTAGGTTTTTTCCATGTTAGTACTTTGAGCATCTTTAGCATTCGGTTATTAAGCCATCTGACTTAAGCCACTATTGTTAATGGGTAGTCTGGAAACTACTGCAAAAAATATTGTTATAGAATAAAATATAAATCTACAGAACCATTTTGAAGATTATTTTATATAAATAGTTGGTTTACTTTTTCAGAATTTATTTTTATTTATAGATAGATGATAGATAGATAGATAGATAGATAGATAGATGGATGGATGTTTTGCCTGCACAAATATCTGTGTACCACGTGTGTATATGGTGCCTTTAGAGCCAGAAGAGGGTATTGGATCCTTGGAAATTAGATTTGCATAGGGTTGTGGGCTGCTATGTAGGTGTTGAGAACTGAACCCTGAAGCTGGTATAACCGAACTTCACTATAACTATATCAAAGCAGTTGAGTTTTGCTTGGAACATAGAAGGAGCTA